AGGTCGGATTCAAACCCTGGGCTGCTGCAGCAAGGACTCCTCGGTACATGGGGCGCCAGCTCTACCCACTGAAATAACCAGGCACCCCAATAACTTTTGTTTAATTTTAATTAATAATGTTCCTAGAATCAACAAAACAATTCAAATCAAAATCAAAATAGAATGTTGAAATAATACCACTTCAATGAAACTCAATATCTTTTTTGAATTACGACCTAGCCCTATGTCAACATAAAGCATTAAGGGAAGTCACTTATCTAAGGGGAGACTTGCATCACTTTAGTATGTACGTTCTTCACGCACACTGGGTCAGCAAGACAGAACCCTTGATTTCTGGGGTTGATAATCCTTTAGAGAGTGCGTACGTGTTTGTGAGTGACTCTTTTCCCCCTAACTCCATCAGCCTTTGCCGACCGCCGAGCCAAGAGTTTCAGCCGCTCGTGGAGTGACCCCACCCCTGTTAAACCCGACTCGCTGCATGACTCCAGAGACAGTGAGTCCATGCTCTCACACACAAAAACACACACAGTACATTCACACACACTTAGTGTTGGGTAGCAACTGTTATAGGGAATTTTGCATAACTACATGCTGTATACACACACAGCTGAAAGCACACAACAAATTAGTGCACTCACACACACAAACTCTTACTTACTCTTACTGTGTTTAATGTGTACAGTTTATCTGTGTACAGTATGTGCTGCCTGTATCTTCATACTCTGTGTGTCTGTTCTCGGCTGTTTCCATACATCTACACAGCCATCCCCATCTTTTAACCTTGTGTTGTCTATCTGCCTGTTGCTTTTTGCCATAGCAGTCTGTATCTGGCTGGGCGCATAAGGAGAGTGTTATTGTGTCGTTTTGTGTTGTCTGCTGTCTGATTTTAACTCTTCCATTCCTCCCCTCCACGCTGGAAAAATAACAGGTGCATTGCTTTTTAATGGATCACCCTCCTCTCTAATCTTGTTTGTGTGTCATCCTTTCATCTCGCCCTTTGTTCCTCTGTATGTGCGTGTGTGTGTGTGTGTGTGTGAGCCAGGTGGCGAATTTCAGAGCTCCTCAGGGACACTAGATGAAGGGCTGGATGAGGATGCCCACTGGGAGGAGGAGAGGGAGATGGAGAGAGTGGCGTGTGAAGGAGAGGACTTCAGCCCACCTAAAATCATGGTGACGATCCCTGCAAATGGACTTTAAAGTTACACTGAATATATCTACAGATTGTCCATTCTGATGTGACTGAGGGGATTTAGGTTTTTCTGCCTTCTGTTTCCTGTCTTCCACAGCTGATATCCTCCAAGGTCCCAAAGGCTGAATATGTTCCCAACATCATTCGTAGGGATGACCCTTCCATCATCCCTATTCTTTATGTGAGTAGCAGACAGCTTCACACCACCACTGGTTTAGGTTTAAGGAATTAAGTGCTGTATTTATTAATTAACTCCTGTATTTATTAAGTGCTGTATTTATTAATTAACCATTATTAATTAATGGCTGTGATGCAACAAAAAGAAAAATTATTTAGATGGTTGAAAATGTTAAATTCAACATTGCTTTTCTACCTTACCATGAGTTGGCGTCATAAAGTTGTTACCAACACAGTGGCCATTTAAAGCAACATTATGTAAGATTTGGTAATCGTGCAATTGTTGTGTGCTGTTCATTATGATCAGATTACTCATGATCTAAATGTAGAAAATCGGTGCTACCAGTGTATAGACCAACACCTCTTCTGGTCTAAGGACCCAGTGCCAGGCTTCCAGGGCAGTACGGCTAACTAGCTAATGGCAGCTACATTTCACAGAAGTTACTTTACTGTAAATCACAGTGAGCAGAGGCGGAGCAGCCGGAGGACATCAGAGGGAAAACCAGAAAACCTTTCCTCCATAAAAGATGATCCAGTTTCACCAAAACCACTGACATAGTTGGTGGTGTGTGACTGCTGCTTTATGTGTTGGACCAATCATAAAACTATGAGGACTGTGGAAAAGTGGCATGCCTTGATGTTGGTGACTAATTTACACCACAAATTAATCAGAAACCAAGTTCAGTTCAGTTAATATTTGATCAAATTTAAGAGCATCCAACATTTATTTCAGTTTGATGACCACGCTTTGGAAGTGATGGATTTGTTCAGTCATGTACGCAGGGTTCGTTTTTGTAAGTGAAGAAGAGATCTGTCAGTCATCCAGTTCAAATGATGTCTCTCCTGAGCAATATACAGACTGATTGCAGTCTGGCTTTGATGGTCTGTTAAGTGGCGCCCTGTTCTTTGTTCAGACTGTAATTGTGTAAGAGTAAAATTAGCACTGTTCAGTCAGACAACTCACGTTTGAAATGTTTTATCATGCAGTATATGCATAGTTTAGATTTTGTGCGTCTAGATTCCGGACCTCTCACTCCCGCAGCATATGTTTTTAATAGAGATATTGGGGAGTGATGAGCAAATACCCTTACACCCCTAGCGAGAGGAGGTGGAATTTTTTTATAAAAGGTGAGAGCGGAGCCTTATCTTCCCGCTCAATTTCGGTCGGTCATGCCCTACCCAGAATGCATCTTTGCACCTGCGCGCACACCCACACTATTTTCCCACACTATTTTCTTTCAAAACTATGGAGTTTAATGTGTACTTCAGAAAACAAACTGAGAAGTCGTACAAGTGTACTATTCCAGTAAAAGTAAAAGATGGGGATAATGTGGAACAATTAAAAGAATGCAGCGACATTGTTGCAGTCGGTAAAGAGTCGTTTTGGAATCTAAAAAGACACATTTCTCGGAAACATGGCAGTCTACTACAGGAACACACTGCGTAATCAAAAGGTGAGCTAGTCGCTAATGCTAGTTAAAAATATGCTTTGTATGTGTAGTAATGTCCGTTTCATTTAATTCACGAGTGCTGCCCAACCAGGCTACACCCCCCCTGCTACAATACTGTCCGGGACACACTGATGCCACATGCTCTGGAAGAGATGGAAGCCAAGCTGCGAGACCTACTGCAAAAGGGTGATGGGATTGTTCTGTCAGCTGACATTTGGACCAGTAGAAGAGGGCACAGCTTCCTTGGCATCGTGGCCAGTTTCATTGATGAGATGTTCCGGGGACACAAGCTGTGAGCTGTGAGCACATACAGGAGCACCATACAGCAGATCGCATTTACCAAAAGTACGAAAGTGTACTGAAAAACTGGAACGTGCAACAACGTGTGACTCGGGTGGTGACTGACAATGCCAGCAACATGGTTAAAGAATTTAACCTCCTCCCTGGCACTGAAGAGGAGGCGGATGGTGTGACTGCGGGTGCCAGCTGCACCACTGAGCATGAGGAAGAGGAAGAGGGACTACCTGAACTCTCACAGGTCCAAGTGGAAGAAATAACTACCAATGTAGAAAGTATGGTAAACAAGTATTTTACTGTGTCAAATTTACATCTGCGGTGCCCAATTCACATGCTTCAGCTGGCTATCAAAGATGCTGTTAACGAGAACGCCAGCCTGTTACTGAAAGTCGGGCAGCTGGTGACAAGTGTGCGCAAGAGCTGCTTGAACACCGAGGAAACCGACCGATTGGGAGTACGCCCCACGACTGCTTGTACAACGCGATGGAGCAGCCAACTGCGGATGATTGAGTCGGTCCTCCGGTTGTTCCAAAAAGACCCGTTATGGCAAAGCAAGATCAAATCTACCGCCGCCAACATCACCCTGACGCACCTTGTCAGCGTGTTAGCACCGCTGGCGGACCTCACAGACAAAATGCAGAAGGAGCTGGGGAACCTAGGGATAATCCTCCCGGCTGTCAGTGAGATCAAATCCCTGTTAACCAACACTGCACTTCCCATGGGCATTTCTGCTTTTGCAGAAACACTGGCTAATAATGTGTCAACTCGCTACGGAAGGTACTACACTGATAAACACATCATTTTAGCCTCGGTGTTAGATCCCCGTTTCAAGACAGAGTGGGTCATCCGAGATGAGGTAGTCTGCAACAAACTCAAAGAGATCTGCAACCTCCTTTTCGAAGAAGCAGAGGAAAACACTCCTCCTGCGGTGTCACAAACTGTGGCTGACACCCCACTCACTGCCACCCCGGACCCTAACCCTGAACTAAGTAAAAGAGCTCGCCTGTTCGGGTCGTTCTTCAGTGAGCAGCAGCAGTGCGCACCTGGAGAGGCCAAAAGTGAAGTTGAAAAGTACCTCAACTCTCTGAGAGAGAACCCAGACGCAGATGTTCTTGACTTTTGGAAAGAAAACTCCAGGTCCTTTTCGCGCCTGGCTAAAGTAGCTCCCACAGTGTTCAGCATCCCAAGCGGCTAAAGTGCTGAAAGGGTGCTCTCCGCTGCGGGCTTGCTATCCAGAAACCACCGCATGAGTCTGAAGCCTCAGACTTTGGCCAAACTTGTGTTCTTGAAGGTGAACTCAAAAGAGCTGTAGATAGCAAACAAGAGACTCCTCTTTTTATTTTGCTTTAAATTGCACTTGTAAGCGAATTTAAGCTAATTTAAGTTTATAAAACCACCCATATGCACAATTACGCATGGCGCAAGCAATAGGCATATAATTTATTTAAGGCAAGTAAAAAGGCAGAATGGATGAGATGGAAAGATGAAAGCCTGTGCTACTTATTGTTTACTCATTGTGTCATCCCAGTCAAC